GTGAATGGTGGCATTCTCCGTACTGTCGAAGGGTGAGATGCTATTGGATGGTGTATTTCTCGAGTAAATCGTATCATTGATGATGTATTAGCATAATCAGTCAAATTTTCAAGGATAAAAACACGAAAAATAAGCTGGATTTTGTCAGAATTTTCCATTAAGATGAGTCGAATGTGTTCCAATGATGGAGTGAAAAATCTAAAGAAAAAAAATGATTTGCCTGCTATCGACAAAAACGTTATGCTTTTGCGCACGATAATATTAACAAATGACTGTAACAATTGGATGATTTTGTATTTGTATTTTCGAGAACATGACAATATTACATTCGATTGCACAAGTATAATCGAGAGGAGAATAGGATACATATGTGACATTCAATATTTTTCTTTTGATTTTCGACTGGATTGGTCGTGGAAAAAGACAACAAAACTTTGGAAACGAAATACGGTGATTATAACATTTGAGTAAATCTCTCAGATTATTTCATTATTTCATGAACAAATTTTCGTATCAGCGTCTCTCCCTCTCTTCACTTCTCGCGAATAGCTGTACTCGAAAGCATATTTGATAAAAGAAAAATATTGTAACGATGAATCTTACTTAGGCTTGTTGTTTCTTTTTTTCTATTGGGAAAACTGATCATATATCTGGGTCGCTAAGATTGTGCTCGTTTATGCGCGTTCATCGCCATTCCAATCAATGATACTAGAACTTGGAATGCGTGTACAACGGAAGAACGAAATATATCGCAATGCTCTGTATCAATCAAAATCGATCGTCAGAGAAGCGTTTCTTCAGGTAGTCTAGGGAATAGAAAAATGCACTAATGGACTTGTCCAACGTGCTCAACTAGTATTGCTACGGAATTATTCGTCATTATTATCAACATTTCAATATTGATGTCCGAAAGATGATTGTGACTTTGTATATCTCAATAAAGTACTTCCGTATGATAGTTCTAAATACGACAGCACATTACTAATGAATATAGCTATGACACTTTACAGTGAAACAGTTCAATCAAATATGATATGTGGTAGCGAGGATTGTACAATGTTACACAGATGTATATTATGCCCCTTCGCATTTTGATATTTATTCTCTAATAATAAAAAACAAAATCGATGAAAAACAGCACCGCATAAAACTGATAGAATATTGTAAAAAATTCTTGACTATTCACTCTTGTGAAAGTAAGTCAAACGCATTGATCATATTTTCTTCTCGAGATTTGATCCATTCGATATTCATATTCACTTGATCAATTGCCTGTTTACGTGGATATGTTCCAGCACCTGCATTTGGATGCAAGGCGAAGAATTCATTCATCTAAGTAAAAGACTTGTATGATGAAATATTTAAATGATAAGTCTCACTTCGTCAAGATACGATTGCTTTTCAAATGAATGTGAGATTGCACCAATAACTGTGCCTAATCGACGACTCTCAAGTGTAAAGCTAAACCGAAAAAAGAGAGTTTACAAAATGAGTTTCATTCTTCCTTCGGTAACTTACACATCAACAAGTCTTTGATAGTTTTCCTTGTAAAACGTCCATACTACATCTCGGCCGACTGGGTTACGACTGATATAGGCAATCATTGAAAAGAAATCCTGTCGTTTGATCGTGTGTGGTTCACCTTTAATGCCATCTTCCAACAATCGATTCAATCGATCTCGATTCTCCGTCGAACTGATCGCTACTAAAGCTCGCGTTTGTTCTTGTGGTGATACGGCAGTTTTGTAATAATTATACATCATTTCCCAGTCATCTGCATTGTCATCATTACTTGTATGACAGATATAGACCGTTGACAAGAAATCTGCACTGATGCTACAGAAAAAAAAACAGAATTTATAGGTACAAATCGAGTCGATTTTACTTTGTGTCGACTTGACCACCGTTGAAATATTCGACTGGAATCGATCGAAATAGTTCACTAGCGCGTTTGATAGCGTCTTTATGATCCATTCGACAAAGAAATGAAAATCGTAAACCTTTTATTAATCTACATGAACAAATAAACTATTGAAATTCAATCGATGAAAGACATACCTGGTATTATGATCATCCGTCGAATTCGTTTCTAAAATATCGTCAATAGTTGGTCCAGATAGCAAAATTTGTTTAATTGCGAACTCCTATTTCGAAAAGAAAATATTATATTTAAAAATGAAATTCTTCTAACTTTAAATTTCGGCCAAAGATTGGGTAAAAATTCAACTAAATCAGTCAAGACTTCCCAGTGCCACTGAAATGTACGCCAAATAACATATTGTTTACTATTGATTTTCACTAACGATTGAATGATGCGCAACGGTTCGATGTAATCGACTAAACCTCTGTAAGCAAGTAAGAATGCATCTTGAACTAAATTAACTTTATCTTCATCTGAAAAGAACTAAAAAGCAAAATATTCGAAGAAGATGATTTTCATTAGTATGAAGTCATTACTGTTGGATGAGATTCCAGAATATCTGAGAGACGCTGCCAGTTCGATGATATGAACGCATCTGATGAATAGTTTGTGACGTAGAAACCTTGAAAATCACGATTACACTTTATCCAAGTATAGAATTGTTCAGGCAAGTAGATGTTTTCTTCTTCAGTTTCAAGAAGAAAATCAATAGTACCATTTGCAATGACAACTTCGGAAGAGTTTCCACCTAAAACACACTGAATATTGATTTTCCATCGATAATCACTAGTAAGATTCGAGGAATCTAATGCATTAGAAATAATAAAACGTGATTGGTTAAATGTTACATATGTTCCACTATCATTTGCACGTAAATGTACATTCAAAATCGGAAAATTCGCTTCTTCAAGCCAATTTTTCATAAATTCTTCTCCACTTATATTAGTAAATAATTTGTTATAGAATACCGTTGGATCGCCCACATCCCACGCATTTGAATACAAATAATCGCGTAAACCGTCACGAAATGTATCTGAACCGACAATTTTCTCCAACATACGTAGAACACTTGCACCTTTTGAATAAGTTATTGAGTCAAATAAACTTGTAATTTCAGCAGGACTCGTTATATTTCGAACAATAATAGCATGTGATGATGGTTTCGCATCATCCCACATAACAGGTATAACTTCTTCAGTCAATGCTTGTAATTCCTTTACAAAACAAGAAGAAGTTTATCTAGTATTCAATGAGATGCATTACCATGTTCCAATCAGGATATTTCGCAGTGAATGGCTTGTAGGAAAGCCATGTTGCCATCGCTTCATTCAACCATAAATCGTCCCACCATTTACATGTAACATAATTGCCGAACCCTAGATGAATTCGAGATCGAGTCATAGTTTGTCGGAGTGAAATGAACTTACAGAAATGAGCGATTTCATGTGCCATAGTCTCGCCTAGTTGTTGTTTTTGAAGAACTGATGCGGACTTCTCATCGAAGATTATGCGATCTTCCCGAAATGAGACTAAACCCCAGTTTTCCATAGCACCCGAGGCAAAATCAGGAACAGCCAAAAGATCTATTCAAACGATCGTTTTCCAAATGAAAAGTGAAGTAAAAGTTTATTTACCAATTTTTGGAGTAACAGGCTCTGATGTATTGAAATAATCCGTAAAATATGATACAGAATTGATTGCGATTTCCAATGCTAAGTCGGTATGACCTTTCTCTGTCGGTTCAGGACGAGCCCAGACAATTATCTAGAACATAAACAACGAAACGACTCATTTTTATCAATATTCAGACATACCTCGGGTTCATTATGAGTACTCGCTAGTTTTCCGTATGTATTTGGAAGAACAGCCCATGCAGCAAGGTAAGTACTCATGCGAAATGTGTCGGCAAATCTTGTTCGTCGTAGATCACCTTCAACACTTTCTTCAATCTGTTAAAACCAAATGTTTAGTCTCAAAAGTGATCCTATGATTAACATACGCTTGGAAAATTTGCAATTGCAATCGTGTCAAGTGGATGAACAATGGTAATTTTGAAAATCGCTTTCAAATGTGGTTCATCAAAGCAAGGAAAAGCTTTTCGAGCATCAGTTGGCTGAAATTTCGAAGCTAGTAACTTCCTAAATCAAACATCGATGTTTACATCTTTTCAACGAGTGTTTCTTTACCCTGCCGTTCCACTGCTATCTTTATACACACTTTGATAAAAGCCAATATTACCATCGACCAAACTAACAATAAATCTTTGTTTCAAAGTATATCGATTTGGATTAAAACTTGAGTTTGTTGTAATTAAACGCAAACTGATGAAGTCATTGGGCGAATATACTCGCATTGATACCAAACGATTCACATCATCTTCAAACAGAACTGGTTCTTCTAGTTCTATAAAACGTTTTCCATGATAGATAAGTTGTTGAATAGGTTCTTTCAATGTGAAATGGATTGTCACTTCTCCTTGAATTACTGTTTGATTCGTATTATTGTAAATGTATTCTAATTCATAACAATGAACTTCGATTTTAGCTGCTAAGCGTGCATTACATTCATCGTCAATGCATTTCAACGGAGCAACTTTCGTCGTAGGGACCGCCGTCGTTGCTATTGAAGTTTGTTCGAAAATCGTATGAAATTCCGTTGGTTCAGGTAGAAAATGAGCATTTATGAATGATAGATAATAAAATATCACAATAAGACTAATCAATGCCATTGAATATCTAGGAGCTATCTTTCGTTGTGTTTAGTTGGTTATCTACTTCAACGATATATAATAATCATTTACAGCTGCTCTTCTAATTGCCAATATATCGTTAAAACCTTTTAGGAAACAATATATATCCTTTTCCACACAATAGAAATGGGATAAATGAATAAAAAAAGGTCTTCTTGCTAGATTGCGCGTCTCTTTATATGACCTCTTGTGTTTCCCAGTCAACAAAAAAAGAGTTATCCTATTTAAAAGATTCAGAGCGAATAACTACCAATTACTTATTGAATATCATTTTCTCAAATACTTTTATTTCTTTCTATAAAAAAAATGTGATGCAGAAAAAAAATCAATTTAGTCTTTTCGAGTAATTCGATCACCTGCTGAGACGGCTCCGTCAAGACTCTCAGCCATTCCATCGAGCAACCAGATGAAATTGATTATAATTTGATCGCTTGCTAGTTTTTGATATTGCGATGAACTTGGAAATTCGTTGACAAATTTTTGCATCTAAAAAAGACAAGTTTTTACAGGCATTTCCAAGCGAAGATCAAATACCTGTAAGTAATAGTATTCATTCTCGAATGTTTGTACAATATTTGTTATCAATTGATTAAACAAACGATTTGTTTCACCGTAACTAGAAAAGATTACAAATTACACAATTTCTTTCATAAATTTCTGCTTACGTTGCCAGTAAATCTCGATAATTATGACGATAGAAATTCCAAACAATATCTCGTCCAACCGGATTTTGACTAATGGTGATAATTAAATCAAAGAATTCCTGTGTTTCAATTATATTTGATTTAGTATCAAAACCTTGCTCCAAGATTCTAAATGAATATCGCACAAATTGCACTAACTTTGATAGAGATGTGAAGCTTACTTTTTCAATCGCCATGTTTCTTTCGAAGCACCAAGAGCTCGAAGGATTGTGCTTCGTTGCTGGCTCGTAGTCGCTTCATTTTCTGTAAAATAATACCAAAGGTTATCCCAATCATCCACATCGTTTGTATTCTGTATATGATAATAAATGACTGTGGCGAGCAAATTGGGATCAACGCTGAAATTTTGAGAAAACTATAGTTGACAATCAGAGATAAAAGAAACGAACTTGACAACACCGGTGGAATTCATGAAATAGCTCTCCGGAATGCGGTGAAAGAGTTCAGATGCTTTGTACAATGCATCGGGATTTTGAACACGGCAGAGTAACTCGAACAGCAGTGACTTGATCAATCTAAACAAAGACTTGCCGAACTAAAAGAAGGATATGAAGTTGTTACTTGTCTTGGTGTGTTGTTCCAATAGTAACAATGTTGTTGATATCCCTACTGAATGGAGCTAATGTTTGACGAGTTGCAAACGACTACAACGCAAATAGTCTGGAAAAACATGTTCTTTGGTTCTAGTTTTTACTTTGAAATTCCAGAAGAATGAGGAATGTTCTTCCACGCCCATTAGATAATTCCAATGCCAAACAAACACTGACCAAGGTAAGTAATTTCCCGCTGGATCGTCAAACAGAAAACGGACTAAAATGATCGATTGATCATAAGTAACAATTTCACCACCATGAGGAAGAATAAAAGCATCGTTGAGTAAATTCGCACGATCATTACCGGAGAAGATTTCATCCTATTGAAGAAACAAAAAAGAAGAATTCTTTCGATTTGATGTATTTCTTTTCATACATTTTGAAACAACAATTCTAAACGTTGCCAAATACCATGTGGATCATCATTCTCTAAGACATATTCAGTAACTTGGTATGAATAGAAATCTTTATTACATTTAATCCAGAGATATTCTTTATCTAAGATTTGAACGACTTCTGTCGATGATTCGAGGATAAATTTGATTCTTGATTTATCCACATCAGCTGTTAAATTGAAATTATTATTGTCATTCGAACCACCGAGATCACATTCAACAAACATTTTCCATTTATAATTGATATCCAATGAACTGGAATCTAGTTCTGCTGAACCAAAATATCGTGCTTGACGGAAAATCAAGGTTGTGTTTTTATCTGTGACATTATTGGGAATGACATCAATGGTTAAAATCGGATAATTTCGTTCTTCCAACCAAGAACGAAGAAATTCCTCAGCGGTAACATTCGTATTTACTACTGAACTCAGATTAAAATTCGAATAGAATGTTGGTAAAATGTCCGACATATTTGTTATTGAGAGAAGACTCGTAACAGCTGTTTGAAACACATCAGCTTCGCAGATATGTTCGAGTAAACGAAGAAGTGAAGCACCTTTGCTATAGATATGTGTCGATAAATAATCAAGAATTTGCTGATTGTTTGTTAAATTCTGCTCAGAAACAGGCCAGATACTTGGTTTGAAATCATCCATCATCAATGGCATCATTTCACGAATAGGAAATTGGTCCATCTAGTTGACAAAGTCGTTCTTTTAGTCATCCACGGATCAATAATTACTTACTAATTGAAAATCTGGATACTTTGCATCGATTGCTTTGTATGCGAGAAATATTGAGAGAGATTTACCAAACCAAATGTTGTCCCACCAATCTGCAGTTGAAAACCACTAAATGAAACAGATTTATTTTTATTTTTCGGAGTGAAATAGTCGAATTTAGTTGTTTACAGGTTGTAAAAGATGTTCAACAAGAATTTTCGTGGTTGTTTGTTGTCGTTCTGCAGAATTCAAGCTCACATCTGTGGTGAGAAGTTCTTCACGGAATGTTATTAAGCCCCACGATGCCGAAGCTTTTTCGTCAAGAATTAAATCGGGTACGCCAATCAAATCTAAAAGAGACTATTTAAATGAATACGTTTTTCTTCTTTTAGTTAAAACTACCAAGTTTAGTTATAAAGTCCGTAGTTGTCACATTCGTATACTCTTGAATAAACTGAAATGTTTTATTAACGACATCGAATGTCCAATCTAGGTTTGCATTTGATGCGCCGAGTAATTCTGGTCGAACACGAACATTGACCTGAACACGATTATTTATGTATTTGCAACAAACGTTAAAAAGAGACAAAAACCTACTGTAACACCTTGAATCGTTTGCGTGACCACTGGAAATTCATCGATAGGCAGAATAGCCCAGGCTAAGGAATAAGTACTCATCGGATATGTTTTGGCAAATGTTGTCGTCGTCCCAGAAGTTGCCTGAGAATGCAGAACTAAACTTTTGCTTAAGTCGCAATTAAAAATCGTACTTGTGTGGGAAGATTCGATAGTGCAACGGCGGTATTAGGATGCTCAAGTGTCAAGGTGAAACTTGCTTGCATACTTGGTTCATCGAAGCATGGAAAAGCTGCAGAGAAATAAATTTTACAAAGATTTCATTTGATTTTCTTTCTATTACCTTGTCGCGCATGAATTGGTTGAAAATTGGAAGCTAATAAACTGTTAAATAGTTTTGAAAAAAGGTTTAGGAGATCAAATGTTCACTCATCCTCTTACTAGCTTATTTCACCAACTGATTTCCAGAACATTTCGCGATAGAATCCGGTTTGATCTCGTTCGTTGATTTTTCCCGTATAAGTAATTTCCAAAGTTATCGAACCCACTGGAATTTGTGCAGGAAACCGCAAATAAACCATATCCGTGTCGGACAAATACGTAACTGTTGCTGTGTTAGAACCACCAGCTGTTAATTTCGCTTCGGTAATATTCAAATTTTTGGAATGAAGAACCAAGAAATTGGTTTGTTCACTTAGACTGATATTGATTGTCACTTGACCGGTGAATGTGATCGATGTTAAGTTTGAAATAAGCGCAAAGCAATCCGGACAAGCAATATTCAATGTATAGTCGGTAGGTGTTGCAAATACTGGTAAACGCCACGATGAATATGGTCGAGTGCCGTTCGGCCATGGGTCTGGTGTTGTTGTTCGTTGTGTTGTTGGAGAGGTCGTGATTACTGGACGTGTTACTTTAGGTGTGCTTGGCGTAGATCGGGTGGTTGACACTGTTGAAGCAGTTGGTATTGTTGGTACGGTTGACGTTGCGCTACACATGGGTGGAATTGCTGGACATTGTTCTTGTCGATTGATATCACGAACATATCTTCCATGAGAATTGGATGCTGTTTGAGAAGTATTCGATTTTGGAGGCGTAACGACTTTCTCGACATAGATAACATCGCATTTCGTTGATCGATATTGAAGAGTCAATGGCCCGAGAGCAATTACACAGGCACTAGCAGCAATGGTCAACGCTAAAAATTGCCAGATTTTGAATTCGATTTCGTTCGTCGTATGTTTGCTTTTTGTCTTCATCTCTTCGTAGCAAAACCGATGAAAAGCGAATAGATGTAAAGTTGCAGAAGGAAAATTGCTTTATGTACAGATGTTTAAGCAACTTAGCAATGTCGTAAAACTTGAAAATAATTGATAAAAGAGAAGGTTCTCTAGTCATTATTATCCCAAGAGAAATGGTTATAAAAGTAAAAGAAGAAATCTCATCAAAGTTATACAGCTTAACAATACACTATAGAATGTTTGAAATCATGACATTGATGTTACGAATATCTTTCATTATTTCATTTTTTATGACAAGTATGAGTAAGAGTTGTCACAGTAACTTGTCAATGATGTTCTCATCACTTTCGTTTCAAAAAAGAAGTATTATCTTGATGTAAACGATATTAGAGTTACCGACATCTTTTGACAAAATTCGATTTCACGATTTGTTCGTCGTAACTTACCAATGACTCCGTCGTAAAAAGAAAAACAATAGGTAGGAAAAGGAAATTGGTTGAAGTTCAATAATTTCTTAATTATTTTATATGAAAATCGGCTATTCTTAAGTGCTTGCTATATTCATGGATGATACGGCAACTGTTAATGAAAATTTGCCCACTGGGATACCTCACCAACAACATTCAGATCCAAATGGAAACGTTCCGGATGTAAGTTTTTCGTTACCAGAAAAGCAAACACTCAAATTTCATCCTATTTTTAGCAGAATGTTCATCCGAAAATAGACTTCGTGTCCACGTCTAATGGAAATATGGAATCAACGGAAACTGTAGTTCATACACCTACGAATACTCTCATTTCTGACCCAACAGTAAAGTACAATTATTTAAGAGACGTTCATTCGTTTCGTCCTATTTTCGTCTAGTTGAATCATGCGGTGAATGGTATGTCAAGATTATCGATGAATAATAATATGTTCTATCCGAATTCTGATCGGTTTCGCCCGCAAAATACTTCATTATATTATCCGTCGAATGCTAACACATCCGATCATTGGGCACAACTAGCAGCTTTCACGCCACCATTGATGTCAATTCCTCTGCCATATCAAGAATCTCAATGGCAACCACAAAATTATCAGTATCCACCGCGATCATACGTACCGAATCAGTCAAATCCAAAAACCTTCTTAGTACCGAAAAAGAAACCAGAATCAATAGCACCGCCAGTTGAATACTATGTCGATTGTTTTGCATCGAATTTCTCGGATAAACTACCTTCAAATACAGCTAAATCGAAAACCAAACATGTGACTTTTCAAGAATCAGAAGCGACCAAGTTAGTTCCTTCGATTTCTATTGACTCTCATACAGAAGCTTCATCCATATGTCATTTAGTGAATCCCCAAGATCAATTGCAAATAACAACCTATTCTCCCCACCGCAGCCTCTGTCAGTTCCTACATATCAACCTGTACCTCATTTCAATACATATAATTATTCACATCAACAATATCCATACCATAATTTTTATCCATATTATTCCGGTATGACCGCAAATCCACGATATATGCCTCGTTCTCGTGGAATGAATATGATATCGAGAGCACAGCGGTGGCCGTAAGTATTCAATCACACATGAATAAGACATATTTGTCCAACTGAACTCTCTCATTCAGACCTCGATTATATAATCCCAACTATTATCAACAGCAACGTCATACATCATACATGTATCCTACCTACGAGCAACGACAACTCTATGATCCTAATCAACCTAAACTAAACTCGATATCTGAATCTCAAAATTCGTTTGCAGTTATTCGAAATATTGCGCCGAAACATAAGAAAAAAATCAATGAGACAAGTAGTAATGAGAGTTCCACCGTATCTACACCTGACTCGATGCCGGCACGGCCCATTACCATACTTCGCAAACCGAGTGTAGACATTGGATGTGTCGTCACTGAAGAACCATCTGCGTCTTCAAATATACTATCTGAAACCGAACAAACCACTCCCATTCCATCTGCAGTTTCCGAAACTATTTCTCCTCCGGAAACCACCAATTTATTTCAATCCTTGACAAGTCAGACACTGTTATCTATTCTCCAGAGTGCAAACTGTATATCCGCATTGAATGAGTTCGCACAGCAGAACAAATTAACAATCAATTATGAATTTTCGTCGACATCTTCATCGACATTTACATGCACAATGACAATCAGCGGTCGTCAGTTTCCGTCATCATCCTCGTGTTCAACAAAGAACGAGGCACAAAAACTAGCATGTGATCAAGCACTACGCACGCTCTATTGTGAATCAAATGCTGCTGAACGATCTCAACCCGAATTTTCTGATAAACACGATTACATTGCACATCGATCTTTAATCAAATTTCAAGACTTGAATGTCAATGAGTTACTACACGGTCGGAAGACTTTAGCATGCATGTTGATGGTTACCGATGGACAATTCGAACAAGCATTGGTGATTAGCATTGGAACAGGAAACGCTTGTCTTGATGAAACCAATCTTAGCTACGCTAATGACGGAAAGGTGCTACACGATTGTCATGCGGAAGTGCTTGCACGTCGTGGTTTAATCCGATTTCTATTCGTACAGATTCAACAATGTCAAGATAAGCAAACATCTATTTTCCAATATGATTCTACAACTAGTAAATATCAATTGCAAGAAAAGATTACATTTCATATGTATATATCATCAACACCATGTGGCAATGCATCGTTAAGTACTTCTTCAAAAGTTATCCGTTACAAACAAGGTCAAACGGAAGGTACTACACTTGCATCGACAAGTTCATTAAAATATCCGATAAAGTCCTGCAGTGATAAAATATCTCGATGGAACATCATGGGTATTCAAGGTGGTCTTTTAATTCATTTATTGACAACACCAATCTATCTCGAAACCATAACATTAGCGTGTGAATCCACATTTGATCGCAACCATGTGAAATATTCTTTGAGTGAACACTTGAAAGAACATGTTCAGTCATTACCAGAACCATTTTTATATCATTCACCGGATATTGATTGTCCGAAGACGAAATCATTTCAACAAGAGAGACAAGTCGCTAAACTTCAGACAAGCGCATTTGCATGGAATATAACTCAATCGGATAGAAATGAACTATTGGAACCAATGATAGGAAAATTAAAGTAAGAAAGAATATTTTTCGAAATCATTTTATCTAACTATGATTTTTCTTGCAGAGCCAATCGATCGATATCCTTGCTGAGTAAATATAAATTCTTTGTTGATTTTACAAATTTTCTACAAACAACATTACCCGAAGGTACAGATTTACCTTATAAAACGTATCAGGAAGCGAAACAACTTGATCCACTTTATCTCAAAGCAAAAAGTCGAATATCTACTGCATTCCAAACAGAATCATCGGATGCGAATATTCCATGGCTAAGTAAAGGTGATCAACTGGAGCAATTTTCAATAGAATAATCGTCTAAACATGCAAATCTTTCGCTTTTCTTTGTTGTTTTTTGATTTTTTCATTTTCAAAGTAATTCACGGTTCTATGCATTCATCATTTGCTTTCTTTTTTTAAAAACGAATATATGGATAGTGCGTGTGGGTAAGCCAAGCTCGATAAATGATACACACAGAATGGCGCCACATGTGTAGATTCTATTTTCCCAATTATCATTGCAAATTTTTCAGTGAAAGTCAAACTAATCTTCGGACGAAGTACGGTTCCATCGGAATTCTAATGGAATACTTCTGATTAGAGGTTGTTGGAGTAATAAAATTGAGTAAAGAGGTCACTGATGGTCATTTTTCATAACGATTGGGCGAACGCATGTCAAATCTTTCTTCTTCTGTCTTCAGTTTGGTTTGGTTTGGTATGGTGCAGCATGAAATATCTCGGCAGGATCAGGAATCATTAAGTTCTATACTAGTAATCGTTCTTTCTCCTGTCATTTCAGATGATTCGAACGTTTCTGCGACCTTTACAAGCTGTTCGAGTTGTTCAAATACCAGTTCGAGTACGAAGAAATCGACTACATATTCCGCATGCTCACGTTTCGTTTTCTTTAGACAACTGTGATTGTCGAAAGAGTAAATCCCTTGACAAAACTACGTCCATGGGAGAACATTTACGATTACAATAAATACAAATATGCTGACTTTCAATATCGTGTTGTTCGTGATACGGATGCAGACAAATGGGGAAACATCGATGTGATTCTTACTGAATATGTCGAAGGTAAAAGCAAAAGAAAATCTATCGAAGATTTCGTTATGTATATCTGATAATTAGGTGTGGGATATAAAGGCGAAATTGTCAATATTCCACGTGAAATGGCATATAAAGAATTGTTACCAGCACAATTAGCACTTTATCCAACACCGGACAATGTTGCCTTGTTTGAAGAGGAAAGAAAATTACTGGTAGATCGACCACAAATATCTCCTTTTGTTATGAAATGTCGTGATTATTTGAAAACAATTCTTTTACAAATACCAATCAATATGAAAATCAAAGATTGGTCATTAACGAGAGACAATGTTCGTATTGCACTTCGACGAATGGTACGTATCAACATTTTTTTTTCTACCTGATCAGATCTCTTTCTTTCTTTCGTCATTTCAGAATGTAATGTGCGATGAAGACGCTATTTTGTTAGAAGATGGTGCGATTAACAAAGATACTTATAAATTAGGAGAAGAATTTCAGGTCACATTGAAGATCAATCCACTCGTCGATGTTTCGATTAAATGTACACTCGTACCAGTGGACAAAGCGAAACTATGGGACGAATATCAATTATCGAAACGACGAGCCAAAACCTAATGTTTCATTTTTTTTTCTTCTTCGTAAATACCACATTTTGTTTAGGAGATAAAATAAATAAAAACTCTCATAATATCACTTATCAGTTTGTCGACATCAAATGATATAACAAGTAAGCATGTCTCTGCTTCTCATTGTGCGATAACAAGTGAGATCTCATCGCCGATTTCAAGTTAACTAACTTTATGTCTACTCTCATGGCAACACCGATAGGTGCCTCATTAAGAGCTCGCCGTTATCGACAACAACCGAGAATAAATGAAATCAAAGATGAGGATGATCTAAGACAAAGAGCACGAACAATTAAACATCGCGCTACAACTATCAATGTTCCGCCAACACTTTCCTCAACACCTTCCTTAGAACAATCACCGTCTGCACACATCAGTCCAACCATTTATATCTATAATAGTGATTCATTAGAAACTCCCTCTTATACATCGATATCAAACATTCGACCTATTCGTGCTGATGAACGTCTATGGATTGATGTACCTACTGTAAATAATTTGAGGTTGTCTTTATCATAAAAGAAATAATAACTATGTTTGATGTGTGTAGATTCAAGATCACGATTTAATATCAAATATTGGCAAACGATTTGATATTCATCCGTTAGTTCTTCAAGATATTGCAACAGAAGATCAACGCGCAAAATTGGATACATTTGATAATGCTTTATTTCTTGTTGCTAAAGTTATTTTCAATGACAATACTTCGGAGAAGACATGCGTTGATCAAATTTGTTTTTATTTAAAAGAAAATGTTTTGATCACATTTCAACAGCAGCCCAAGGATATTTTCGATCTAGTCAAAAGTAATTGATCAAATGTAAACAATTCCGTTAAAATTTGCTTTTCCTAGATCGAATTTGTCTAGACAGAGGCCGTGTTCGTCGATCTAACATCGATTATCTATTCTATCTCTTATGCGATACGATTGTTGATCGATACATGGATGTTTTAGATCAAGTTGGTAGAAAGATCGAAGCTATCGAACATCATCTCATGCAAAAAACATCCCGTGACACACTCGAAACAATCTATGATCTCAAACGTGAGATGCTCTATTTTCGTAGTTCGATATATCCATTAAAAGAAATCATTAATCGTCTTCAGAAAGAAGAAGAAACACAAATCATTCAGGAGAGCACCATCATCTACTTGAAGGATCTATTCGACCATGTTGTGCAAGTCAACGACACGATCGATGCGTATCGTGAAATGCTTTCGTCGTTCATTGATTTTTATATGATGCTCAATTCGAATGCAATGAATGAAGTTATGAAAACTTTGACAATTATATCGACGATATTTATTCCATTGACATTCATCGGAGGTGTTTATGGAATGAACTTCGACAATATGCCGGAGATTCATTGGAAATATGGATATCTGATTGTGCTGACATGTATGGTGTGTATAACAGGCATCATGCTGTGTTGTTTCAAACGAAAGAAATGGTTTTAACTTCGGAATGCTAGCATGTACTTTTCGTATTTTACTTGATGAATATATGTTGATAAAGAAAGCAGAGTTTTACTTTTGTAATCTATTTTTTTTTCTCTTCAAATAACAAAAAACTGATATAATAGAATATTTCTTTTATCTATTATCAGCTGTCTTCGCAAGAAAAATACTTACAGAAATTCAGAAGTAGTCTACTGTTTGCTTCGAATGCTGGCGTTTGCGAAATTCTACATTTTCTTGGCTCGAAATACGACAAACAACGTGTATCATGACAGCATCAGCACCTGAAGACAATCCTGTTCGATTAGAAAGAATTACTCGTCTTTTATCTACATCCACTCACGAAGTCTATACGGAGGGATATTTGTTCAATGAAGATAAAGTACGAGAGCGAACTTGTACAATCACTCGTCGTTCATTATCTGATCATAATGGATCAATGTCCAATTTACAATTACAAGAACTCACACCGGTGACACATATCAAACCGACTGTGTACATTTACAGTAGAGATGCAGTTGAAGAAAGTGTTTACGAATCTATTGAAGATATTCGTCCGATCAGAAGTGGTGAATGTCTATGGATTGATATCATTGGAGTGAGTAAAAGTTGTAAATTGAAGCATTTTGTACACTGATTTGATTTAGAATAAAGATAAAACACTTCTAGCAAGTATTAGCCGACGATTTATGATTCATCCACTATTCATCTTAGATATTGAAACAAATGAACAACGAACGAAGTTAGATGTTTTTGAAGATGCTTTGTTTTTAGTCATGAAAATGATCTATCCAGACAAGATTACTCAAGAACCATGTTTCGAGCAGATAAGTTTTTATGTCAAAGAAAATATCCTTATCACAGTTCAAGAAAAATCCAAAGATATATTTGATAAAATTAAAAGTAAACTTACACATTTCAAAACATTTACTTTTCAATCAGTTCTGTCCGTGTAGAGAAGATCGTTCACAACATCGGGAAAACTCGAAAATCAAAAATCGATTATCTTTTCTATTCGTTAATCGATACAATCGTGGATCAATATATGGATACACTCGATATCGTCAATACAAAAGTCGAAGCTATCGATGATCAGTTGATGAAGAATCTGTCTCGTGACACACTTGAAACAATCTATGATCTCAAACGGCAAATGCTTGATTATCGTCGTTTAGTATCTCCGTTGAAAGAAATCATCAATCGACTTCAGAAAGAAGAAGAGACACAAATCATTCAAGAAAGCACCGTTATCTACTTGAAAGATCTATTCGACCATGTCGTACAAGTGAATGATACCATTGATACATATCGAGAAACGCTCTCTTCGTGCATTGATTTCTATATGATGCTCAATTCTAATGCTATGAATGAAGTCGTTAAAACCTTAACAATTATATCTACCATATTCATTCCATTGACATTTATTGCGGGGTTGTATGGAATGAACTTTGATAATATGCCGGAGATACATTGGAAATATGGGTATTATGTAGTACTTGTAGGCATGGCAGCATTAGCCTCGATAATGTTGATATTTTTTAAGCGCAAGAATTGGTTCTGACAAGCGGTTTTTTCCTTTTTTTCTTGTACAATCACAATAGCCATCGAATAAATAAGCTTTCTGATATTCAGATCAAGAAATCATTTGTTGTTACGCGAAAAGCAATGGCAAACATTAATCAAGCGAAATGTCTTTCTATAATGCAGATATGCTGCCGAATAGGACTTGATAATTGTTTTCTATCAACGATGGGTTAAGAAAATTGACATTTCCGAGGTACAAATCATATCAACCTCTGTTCGGAGTCAGATGTTTGGAGAACTCAATCAACTATTTCGTTAAATTTATTTATTTCATACTTGTTAATCACTGCAAAGAATAATCTAAGATAAAATAGGTGAAGACCAAGAAAAACACACACGACACGAAGTGATTTCAGTTCGTATAAATAATCAAAGAAAGCATAAGCAACAATTTGATATATGATTCGGATCATCCGTTTTTATGTAATCAAAAAACATCTTCTTCGCAACGCTTTCTTCCAGATTATCGCCGTGTGCTATTTGAGTGAATGATTGATCAGCGGCATCTTTGTCTACGCCAAAGAATTGACAAGTTTTCACCCATTCGTCTCGGGCGATATGACCATCATGATTGAGATCGAGCATGTTAAATGTTGTGTTGATTCGTTGATTTAATTGTGGTAATAAATCAGGATTAGCACCCGGTTTACGCAATTCGTTGGCAAGACGTCGATGAAAATCCAGCCATTCTTCTACAAAAATGTACTTTTCCTCTCAAAATCGCTTTTAATCAACAAAGATAAGTTTACCTAATGTTACTTTACCATCCTGGTTTACATCAGCACGCATGATTTCTTGGCAGAGTGCTTTGCGAGCTGTAGCATACTCTTCGCGACGTTTCTCATCATCTTGGCCAACAAGTGTCGAAAGTTTATCCGCAAGAATTTCGAAATCTGCCGGAGTTATCGAACCGTCTCTGTCAATATCTGTCATAAAAGAAAACAAATGATATAAATGAACTTCACATTCCATTTCAATATTTACCATAGAGATAGAAAAGACGTTTCATTTTTTCACTCCAGAATTCGTTCAAATTATCAGCCTAAAGAACAGAGCGAAGTTAATATCAACGTTAATCATTCCACCATCTTACCATTGTTAGCAAATAAAAGAGAACATCGCCGTTGTTCTTCGTGCATTTATATATAACTCTAAAAATAGATGCGAATGGAGAAATTAACAATTGATTAGTCGTCGTCTATCGATGTTGCTTTATCTGTTGGAAAGATTAATGAATTACAGAATGATTACTGAATGTGAAAAACATCTTGCACATTCTTTGTAAAGTACCTTCTTCTTCAAATGAGAACGGATTCAGTGAAGGAACCAACGACCGTCGTGTTCTTTCTATTTTGAATACACTTAGAATAGACATCAAGTTGATTAAATACGAATCTGTAAAAGTAATTTGAGTACAGATTGCATACAATGAAAACTAATTAATACAAACATTGACTTTCTTAGATGTTCGATCGAATATAGCTTTGTTTTATGAATGATGATATTGATTAACCTGTGAAGAAGGTAGTACATATACTTGCCTCTTTATAGATCCTGTTTTCTGCCTTGGATGACATAGTTTTACTTGGAAATTAGATATTTCAATGAATTAATTACAAATTTCATGTACCATCTAGGGAGAACGACTTATTTTTCTTTTTTGTCACGTCAATCCCGAGACGATTCCTTCAATGAATGTCCTGATAATCATCACAACATGTAAGTGATTAGTAATGCAACGTGTGGGACCGCTTAATTCATGAAATTCAAGATTATTGATCTTTGTTTATTTCGACAAGAAAAAAAATAAGTATATGTTTTGCACTAGGGATATATACATTCCAACACAACATTAATTAGTCTAATCAGAATCATCTTCAACTTCTTCTTTACTTTTCGGTGCTTTCTTTTTTGGTGATTCTTTCGGTTTGGATTTCTTTTTCGATGATTCGTCCGACTTTTTCTTCGAACTTGTGGACGATTCTGGTTTCTTGCGTTTCTTCGGTGATGATGGACTCTTATTTCCATCTTCATCTTCATCTTCTGTTGAATGAATTGAAGCATTACTATCATATTCGAGAGCATCGTCTTCCTCTTCGTCACCTAAAACATTTCAATCAATATCATTCAATGCAATCTCGATGATTGTCATACCTTCGAAATCTTCATCTTCTTCTTCATCGTCACTTTCCTCCTGGAAAAGTTTCAAAAACTTAGTGGTTATCTTTCAGAATGATTTCAAACTTACATCGTCATCTTCTCGTTCTTGTCCTTCGTTTTGCACGTGTTCCAAATAAATGTCCCGATCTTTATCGATACCGTAATTGACTTTTTTATCCTAAACATCGGCAATAATTTCTATTCAAAGATCGAATTTATCATAATCATTCTTACCCAATTGCTAGCAGCATGAATACGAAGTTCTTTCGAACTAAGAAAATCTGACATTGGCTTCGCTTCCTCTCTAAATGAAACATTTGCCTTCGATCCTATTTGAAATCTACTAATCCTTGATCATACTTTTCGATATTACTAAAAACTTGTGATCCACCACTTTTCAATTGAATTTCGAAGTCAAACGTACGACCAGTGGCTGTATTTGAACGATTAAATCCACACGATGCCACATCATCATGATGAATGTATATCGGTGGCTTAGTTATATAAATGAAACCACGTTCCAATGGATAAAGTAAACCAGCCGATGCTTTGTATGCGCAACTAACACATTTCGCTCCACTTTTACTAAACGAAGTAAAAGTTTGTTTTTACGGAGGAGAACATTTTTAAGAAGAATTTACCTTGTAAATGAACCGGGTACAGTAATACGTTGTTCAGTGATTGCACGAAAGAGACGCGAGACAATATCATGGTAGGGTCCATGCATTTCTTTTTGAAGATTATTACCATATTTTTCTTGAATAACTTCACTGAAAATGTGAACGTTTAGAATTAGTGATGAGATCAAGAACAATTGGAAGTTTTCTTACGGTGTTAATGACATTTCAACCGATGTTTCTTCTTCTTTTTTAAAGCCAAAGATGATGTATTGATAACGCGTTTGGCCATGTTTTATAGGTGGATCCAAGCTAAGCTAAATCGACACAATTATCAAAAATGTTAACACTTATCCGAACATGATCAATTCTACATACCACAAAGTACATTTGTCGATTATCTTTATGTGGAAGAAGAAACCCACGTGTAATTTGATTGTATGGAATCTTATAATCATACGATTTGCCATGTAAATCAAAAAATCCTGGATAGAATCGCAATTCATGTCGACCACTAGAACACAGAAACATCAATACTATTCTAGACACTTCTCGAAGCATACCGTGGTACGATACAATTGATATCGGATAAGCTGCAAATTGCATCACCAGCTTTCGCTGTTAATACAGCAGCACCTTTCATAACATTTTGATGGAAATCCTGTTGATTCACAAAATGAATGGAATATTTCGATATGTAAGAGAAATTTACTTCAACTGCATCACCATCGACATCACCAGGGGGAACATAGAATCGAACTTCCATTAGTGATACTTTGGCATCATCTGCTTGATGAAATTGAAGTGTAATTTCATTCTTGCCTTTGTTGGAGTTTGAAACATTTTTTAGTGGAACTTCAAATGCTTGTTTATGATCGACTTCAAACGCCAGATTTCCAGCTAAAGATAATCAAATGACTTATCTGATCTGCAACGACTACATTCCACCTACATCCAAAACTAACTTGTCCCCAATTCCAACCATTAACAGCCATCTTCTGTGTTTCCACATTTTTTCCAAAATTGCTGGTTATGAACTCTTTTAATCGCTCGATATCCTGCAGAATCATGAATTGTTTTTCAACAAATAGCATTCGTTGAAAGAAGAACATCACGTACCGTATCCTTGAATCCATCGTAACGTAATGATGTATCGTTCTTTGTAATAAACTTCAAACCATAACCACGCGCACGTTTCATCCACTTGACACTCTCGATTTCATCCTTAGTCAATGTTTCTAACTTGCCCGTGCGTAAATTTTTAAACACAATTGAATTCGATGTAAGTTTCAAGCGACCAGGATTCTACAACGGTAGCAGAGAAGAACCAATATTATTCAAAGATGGTAGCAAAGATGAAAAAATCTTACGAGAACACCACGAATTTCTTCGTAGACTTCGTCGAACTCCACTGTCGACATTTGTAATCGGTAAGAAAACTAATGTATCTGTTACGAAGACTACTGTCGACCGACTGTCGAAACGTTGAGAAGTGAAATGAATCGAACCGATCCAAACGTTCTTTCTTCGTCTTTTTGTAATATTTTGACATAAATTGTCCATTTCATTGGATTACAATTTCTCTTCAAACACAAGTCATAGCACCAGGTGATAGAGGGCGCTGATTGCTTGGATAAATATAGACACTAATCTCGTCTTAATACGATCCGAGTCGTTTTACGACTATTCGCCGTAAAGATCATGCATGAAACGCTCATCACGAAGGAAGCTACATAAAGTTTTCTTTTTAATTCTGAAAAGCAAATCTAAGTATGATATCCTATCATTCGGAAACTATTCTTATGAAATCGCGTGGTAGAGTCTTCATTTTTCGAGGTCAACGTTCTACTAATGCAGTGTGAAGAAGAAACATAGTCGTTTCGTAAACAAACTCATATCTCGATCGAAAAATCACACTTCCTTTCGTTGATTGACGTGTTTTCTTGCGAAAGACCAATTGATTCAGTCGGTTTTTTTTTCAAATGTCTGGGTGATTTTTATTGCTTTTATGGCTGGCTACTCTCACGTAAATGTGTTATCATGGCAAAAAATTTATCATTAAATTGCTGACGTCGATTCCCAATGCAATAAACTTATCATTGACGTCAGCAACTCAAAGCAGGCCACAGAAAGCGAAAGAGAATCCTATCTGATATCTGACATAGATAAAATTTCGAAAGATAAATACTCTTCTTCAAGTTTTATTTAACTAACTTGTTATATATGTCGACACTGGTGTTATTTAGCTTCTTTTAACATAAAGTAAATAAGAAACAAAAAAAACATTTCTTTTCTCTTTCTTCCCTTCTGTTTTGTTGTGTTAAAATTCTTTTCTTCGACTTGAATTACACGAGAATAACAGCTCGTTGACATAAATAGGTAAAGTGACAAAACAAAGAAAGAACAGCAATCAGGTTCGATTGTATGCGAGACAAAAGTTCGCTTTTCTTCACGCCAGTCATGAACTTTTCCTTTTTCTAGAAAGATTTATATAAACAGATCCGATTCAGTCTCCATAGAGTTGCACTACGCATAATAGCATAACGAGAAACGTGTTAAAAAAAGACTAGTTCCTTGTTTTGTTTTGTAGAACATTCAACATGTCTGATCAAACACTGAATTTGACACAATTGCTCGATACATTTCAATTATTTGACAAAAACAAAGATGGCTGCATTTGTGCGAATGAAGTATGCGATTTCCTGATGTTACGTTTGTAAATCAACGTTGATTTCGATCATTTCGCTTTAGCTTCGTGCTGCTTGTCAGAAACTACAATTGACAATCGACGAGACTCGAATGAGAGATTTATTTCGCACTCGCGAAAGCATCACATTCGACGAGTTTCGGCAAATCATGCAAGAATTCGGTCAACATGCACCAGACGCTTATCTTCACGAAACATTCCGTGCATTCGATCACAACGCCGATGGATTCATTACAGCTAAGGAAATCAAAAAGACAATGAAACGTCTCGGCGAGCCTCTCACTGATAAACAAGCAAAAGATATGCTAAAAGCCGCTGATACCAACCAGGACGGAAAGTTATCTTTAGAAGAATTTCGCACTTTATTCAACTATATCACTCAACAAGCAACAACCCCACCGTTATCACCAATAGCTCCGGCACCAAACACTCCATCAAAGAAACGTTTCAGTAATCCTTTTAAATCCCAAACTGATTGACTTTTCTACAAATATACTTTCCACCCAGGTTATTATTTATTTCCTAGTTGTGTGTAATCTTGTTCTTCTCTCTTTTGTTATACATACATATGTGTAGAATACGATCATGAAATGATTCGATATGCTTGATGATGAACTTGCGAAGGACACTTTTAAAAAGTGCAGTCAGTTATTGAAGAAAATGAAATACTAAGATGATCAAGAACATTTTCAATGCGAATTATAATGAATTTAGCTGAGCAAAACCAAACAATAGCACTGAGAGATATTCTAATGCTAAAGTAATGAAATACAAACACACGCACACGAATTTTAGAGAACAAACAAAACGTACAAAGACAGCGGTATTGCACAAGACAAGAAAAAAAGAGAACAGGACGACACAGAATGAGGATTAACAGAGATCTTTATAACAAGAAGTAACAACGAATATTTTGCGTGCATAACATATAAATTGGAAAAGAAAACACATCTACCTTCTAATTTATATGTATATATATAAATGAGATGAGAAAGAAGAGAAAAACGAGCCAACTCGACAACAAGAAAACAATTGAAATAACTAAAAAATATTCTAAAAACCTAAATTAACCAAATAAAACAAAAGAGAAGGAAGAAAGAGGGAGAAAAGAAGCTTTGTGTCCGTATTACGGCATTGATCGCTGCTTCTTGAATATGCATAGCACCCGTTAACTTCGGATTAGATTTATTTTTGGTAAAAGACAAAGTGAGAACGATTTTCATTGACAAAACATGATAATTAGCCATTGATACTTTGAATAATGAAACAAACATGTGCTCTCAACATCATCACCTACGATAACAATACAAAATTTGATAAGAGTCAAATCGTATGTGCATGTTTATACTTTACCTATGATTGTAGAACAAAATCTGACTTGGAAGACGATGAAATAGCACATTTACATGACACCATGATTTAGAAAATAGATCTGGAGTTTTATAAGAATTTGTTTCTGAAGAGACATGTGATGTATGAAGAAAAATAAGTAAAGAACAAAGAGATATCTATTTGAAGAAAACGAAGAGAACAACAAGATAAGGAAGAAATTCGATCAAATCTGTACGTACATATTGTCATTCAGATCGATTGATCCAAATTGGGATTTTGCTTTCGGTTTCAAATCATCATCATCGAAAATCTAAATGAATCAAGTGAATAAACTGATAAATTTCTCGTCTAGCGTTACCTGTACAATATATGGACAAGAATGATTGTGAGCAAAAAGAATAGTGGACAAGAAGAAGAAAGTTTTGATGAATTATTGTTTAACAAAGCCTAGAAACGAAAGAAAACATCCATTTGATTAATAAAACTATTCAAATTCAAGAACAAGCAAACCAAGTCGCATTATTAGTTCTTAACTCAGTGTCTAGTAAAAGCATGCTTAGTTCAAGTAAATATTTACGCACGCACACAACACGTTCGTTTATCAGTAGAATATATTTTATAAATACATATACATATATATTTATATATACATTAGAAAGGGTCAAAGGGGCAGTTGTGGTCTTAATCAAAATCGATTAGATGTCAGAGAAATTCATAGGAGATTAAAATAAATGTAATCTGTACAGTACAACATAGAAATACGATAATGGATGTATTTTAGCTAAGTTGTATGTACAGGAAATATAGCAAGAGTAGAAGTAAACACTTGAAATAGAGTTGTTACCTCTTTGTACTTTGATTATAATCAAATACTAAATAACAAGATAGTAACGAAATCTAGAATGCATTCGAAAGAGCTTACAGAATCCATAACAATCAATACGTGTAACAGGTTTGTGAGGAGTACAAAATAAATCGTTAACCGGTTGAGATGACTGGCGATTTTTACAATAAACCCGTCGAGTTTGTTCACCGCGATTACAATCCGATGAACACTAAAAGAAATTTCAATAAGAAATAACCATGCTTCTTCTTTGAAGTTCAATTCCATACTTTCGACCACGGTTCTACATGCCATAAGTATGGACTTTCACAATCGCCCATATTACACGAAATGCGAGTTGTTGGTGCACGATATGGATCACATTTGTTCGAATAATTGTTTTTCAATAGATATCCATTATTGTTTACTTCATGACAAGATATACCTCGATATTCAATACCTGCACCACATGTGGATGTGCACTACAAGACGAAAAGCAATATATTATCTTTCTAGTTTGACCGTGTATTTGTTTTTTCAGATATACCAATGACCATGGGTGTGTTGTCCACGTGGGTGAGCAAACGACTTGAAAGCATTGTTGTACACGATTAGGTTGTGATAAATGTCGACAAAAACGATCGGGAATTGTTCGATTGCGAAATATAGCAAAACATCGAACAGATCGATACTGTTCACCAACTCCACATGGTACGTTACACTATTGAAAACAAAAGCATGAATACACATTTTCTTTCGAAAGAGAGAAATATCTACCTGTGACCATGGACTGACTTCCCATCGACGACGGCGACCACGCCGTCTTGTGACATTGTATGAGATTGATGAGCATGGTTGAACATTACATGAACGACGTATTTGTGGTCGGATAACTCCGTTACATAATTGATCATGAACTATTTGTTCAGTTGAATTTGCAGTGTAGACACAACGATAAATATTTTCTTCGAAACCACCATTACACGTGACCGAACACTAGACGTACTTTCATCAAACGAAGCAGACGAAAAGAAGAAGAACATACTCGAGTCCAGTATTCTGTTGAAATCCATTTATAACATGAAGCTTTCGTACAGATTTCCTCAGATATTGGTCTTGTTAAATTTCGTCGTTTTTGTAGACACATGTGATCGGGAACATGTTGTCCATTCAATTTTCGATTGCAAGTTACTTGTCGAAATCTTTTGCCTGTACCGCATTGCGCGTCGCACTGTTATACATATACATAAAACCGTAGGATTGTGGGGGGAAAAAAGAGAAACGATTGCTGCAAATTTCTTTCGATTATTGTGGCAATAGTGTATGTATGCATGTCATAGATATCGAACATAAACAGATTATGACGAAAAGCACATTGAGAAATCGTATTCTTCTCGTCGAAATCTGTTGAATATCAACAGTGATCGAGATAACAAGAAAAAAAATGAGTCCAAGTAAATTATTAGGAGATATTTATATATGTATATAGATATAGATATGGAAAGATTTATAACCATATCGAACGTGTATGTGTGCGTGTTTGTAAATGTGCACATGCACGCACATGAACAAAATAGACATTGCCGTTCCTAGACTACTTTTAAATGTATATGCATGCAATGTTCAAGCTTCAATCAATCTATTCTATTCTACTAAATAGAAGAGTATCCCAAGAAAATAGATTAAGCGCATGCTATCTATCTTACTAGTACATGCTGAAGCGAGATAGTCAAATTTATGGGACTTTACCTCTGACCAATCACTTGTTCGCCATTCTACACAACTACGACGACATTCTCGTCGCGTAAGAGGTGTAGGCAATGGAGGTTCAGCTAATTCACATTCACTTGAATTTATTTCACGTATAGGCATCTGACGAGTGAAACAACTAAGACCAAAACCATATTGAAAACCACGACCACATTTGACAGAACACTACAACGAAATTGTTTTGGTACAGTAAAGATTACCGATGAGAAAAGATCATAGATTATTTACGCTATTCCAACGAGCAACACGCCATTCGATACACGCCGCTATTCGACACGCGCGACTCGATGGTGGTTGCAGTTGATCTTTTGTACAATTCCAAGGTGGCATAATGCGCGCATTCATGGTATCAATACAACGAACGGTTCGTGTTTGTTGACACGTTTGACGATCACACTTCAATAAAAAGAAAGGCCGAGTTTTTCTTTTTTTAGTGTCAATAATTTGTCATATGACAAACCTGTCCCCATTCGTTGGGTATCCATGTTGCTGCCGATGGCGAAAAATGGTTGGTGTAACTTGTACCTAATGGACAAGGTATCGCATGACATTGCATTGTTGCTGCAGGCCTATTGAGACCGTTGCATTTCTCTGGTGACACGACTTCCTCACGATGTTTGCACGTCACTGTGCGGTGTTGTGTACCTGAACCACATGTTACTGGGCACTAGAAAAGCGCAAAGGAATGGTCCGCCGTGTAGAAAATACAAGTTTTTACCGATGACCAGGGATCGGTTTGCCAAGTAGGACATGGATCTAAATTGCATGTTTCGTATTCGATTGGTTTAATGGGCAATTGAGCACAGTATTGATCATCATAAGATATTTTTGTTTGACTATCAATACAGTGTACTTGTCGTAAACGTCGCCCAATACCACAAGTTGCGCTACACTAAAAATATCAATACAGGACCATAGATTAGCGTTGTTCGAACATTTATTCGAGATTTACCTCTCCAAATTGTTTCACATCCCATATGTATGAAGATGCACTTTGTAGTGACGAGAGTGGTCGAATAACTGAACAGATCGTGCTATTATACGTATAACATGCCTGCAATTCTAGTGGTCTTGATGATTCATCACAATTCATATTCGATATGATATCATCGCCTTGTCGACAAACAACCTGTCGATACTGCATACCTGTCGAACACATTGGAGCAGAACACTAATAGAAAGATAGAATCAAAACCGTGAGCGATTTTCAGTTCTAAATCATCATGCAACATACTTCAGACCACATTCCAGATGTCCATTCTGGGCAGTATAAATCTATATGACACGTTTCAGTCGGTAACGGTTTATGATTGAGATTTGTGCAATGACTATTCTCGACTTCTTGTCCATTGTATGAACACCATACGTGTCGATGACGCACGGCAGAACCACATTTTCCTGAACATTTACTCCATGAACTTGTTTGCCATTGTGGACATTCGTTGATCACACAAGTTTGTCGTTCGTTCGGTTTTGTCTTGTCTCCTAGCATTGTTAAGCATTCAATATCTGGTATAAGAGATGATGGACGTGATGAATCATGGCAATAAACATTTCGCTGTTGAATGCCTGTGCCGCATGTTACTGAGCACTAAACAGAATAAAACACAGAACAGATTTCATTGCATCGATCGCCTTTCAATTTACGTACATCGCTCCATGGTCCACTTGACCAACGTAGTGTTGAACATAGATTACTATCGGGTGCATGACATGTTTGTTGCTCACTAGGCGTTGGTTGTGGACATTTCGAGTGATCCATTGGTCGACCATCTTGATGACATATTATGGCACGTCTTTGAACACCTTTTCCGCATGTAACTGAACACTAGAAAAAAGGTAAGGGCACGCGTTTTGATCGAACTATTTCACTATCGAAACATACGGGTGACCATTCGCTCGTTAACCATGCTGTACAGGTAACATTTGATGAGCACCATTCTTGTTCATTGGGTTTAAGTCTCGGATCGCAGTAGCCATCTTGGACAATTGTTCCATAATGAGTACAAAGAACCTGACGTCGACGAATACCTTGTTGTGATGAGCATGTTGCCGTACACTAAAGTTACAGACATACGACATTTAGATAAAATCAGTTGATTAAACAAACGTACTGGTTGCCAAGGCTGCGTTTCCCAATGAGCTGAGACGGGACATTCGTCAGAACAGGAAACTGTTTCATCGGGTTTTGGTTCATGCTGACATTCATGATCGTTGACTTGTTTACCATTTCGGACGCATGTAACAATTCGATGGCGTTGTTTCGCTATACAATCGCACTAAAACAATGAATCTAGAGAAATGAACAACAATAGTTGATACAAACATTTGACCACACGGTGTAATTCCATCGCGATTGATCACATGATGCTTCGGCACAACGTTCCGTGTTATAAATGAAATCCGATACGCAATAGTGAGGTGATGTAGATAAATTCGATGCATTGCGACAATCAGCTACACGTTTACGTACACAACCACCGTCATAATGACACTAGAATACTCATCGATTTTACGAATAACATGTACAAATACGTTAAACATACTTCGCCCCAGCTTCCATAAACCCAACCCGTTCCTGTACAATCACCAACACATGAGACGACGTCAGCAGGTTTCTCTCCTACATATCTTCGACAGACATTTTCATCAAATGATTCCATAGTTCGATCAAGAAGACTTGTTTTTGTACACTCATATATGACACGTTTATATCCGTCACTGCATCGTGTTGAACAAGCTTGTTGATAACGTGTATTCCAACTAGATATAATAGAATCCAATGAAAACGATTTCATTCTCATCGACTAGAAAATCCTACCTGAGAAGACAATCATTGTTACAACTTTCCTTTTCATATGTATACTGTATTTTATATGCTATACAATAGGATGAATCATATTCTTTTCCATGAATAATACATTTACGAACTTGTTTAAAGCCTTGACAAGGTCGATCGCAATAGTAATCCGAAGATTGATCACCATATTGTCGTGACACATCAGTTTCATCAAATGGCGAATAATANAGCATTGTTGTACACGATTAGGTTGTGATAAATGTCGACAAAAACGATCGGGAATTGTTCGATTGCGAAATATAGCAAAACATCGAACAGATCGATACTGTTCACCAACTCCACATGGTACATTACACTATTGAAAAAAAAGAAGCATGAATACACATTTTCTTTCGAAAGAGAGAGATATCTACCTGTGACCATGAACTGACTTCCCATCGACGACGACGACCACCACCACGCCGTCTTGTGACATTGTATGAGGTTGATAAACATGGTTGAAGATGACATGAACGACGTATTTGTGGTCGGATAACTCCGTTACACAATTGATCATGAACTATTTGTTCACTTGAATTTGCAGTGTAGACACAACGATAGATATTTTCTTCGAAACCACCATTACACGTGACCGAACACTAGAAATACTTTCATCCAGCGGAGCAGATGAAAAGAAGACGAACATACTCGAGTCCAGTATTCTGTTGAGATCCATTTATAACATGAAGCTTTCGTACAGATTTCCTCAGATATTGGTCTTGTTAAATTTCGTCGTTTTTGTAGACACATGTGATCGGGAACATGTTGTCCATTTAATTTTCGATTGCAAGTTACTTGTCGAAATCTTTTGCCTGTACCGCATTGTGCGTCGCACTGTTATACATATACATAAAACCGTAGGATTGTAGGGGAAAAACAGAAACGATTGCTGCAAATTTCTTTCGATTATTGTGACAATAGTGTATGTATGCATGTCATAGATATCGAACATAAACAGATTATGACGAAAAGCACATTGAGAAATCGTATTCTTCTCGTCGAAATCTGTTGAATATCAACAGTGATTGAGACAATAGGAAAACAATGAGTTCAAGTAAATTATTAGGAGATATGTATAGATTTATATAGATATAGATATAGATATGGAAAGATTTGTAACCATATCGAACGTGTATGTGTGCGTGTCCATACATGTGCACATGCACGCACATGAACAAAATAGACATTGCCGTTTCTAGACTACTTCTAAATGTATATACATGCAATGTTCAAGCTTCAATCAATCAATTCTATTCTACTAAATATAAGAGTATCCCAAGGAAATAGATTAAGCGCATGCTATCTATCTTACTAGCACATGCTGAAGCGAGATAGTTGAGTTTATAAGACTTTACCTCTGACCAATCACTTGTTCGCCATTCAACACAACTACGACGACATTCTCGTCGCGTAAGAGGTGTAGGCAATGGAGGTTCAGCTAATTCACATTCACTTGAATTTATTTCACGTATAGGCATCTGACGAGTGAAACAACTAAGACCAAAACCATATTGAAAACCACGACCACATTTGACAGAACACTATAATGAAATTTTTTTGATACAATGAAGATTATCGTTGAGAAAAGATCATAGATTATTTACGCTATTCCAACGAGCAACACGCCATTCCATACACGCCGCTACTCGACACGTGCGATTCGATGGTGGTTGTAGTTGATCTTTTGTACAATTCCAAGGTGGCATAATGCGCGCATTCATGGTATCAATACAACGAACGGTTCGTGTTTGTTGACACGTTTGACGATCACACTTAAATAGAGAAAAAAGACCAAGTTTTTCTTTCCTAGTGTCAATAATTTTTCATATAACAAACCTGTCCCCATTCGTTTGGTATCCATGTCGCTGCCGATGGCGAAAAATGATTATTGTAACTTGTACCTAACGGACAAGGTGTCGCATGACATTGCATTGTTGCTGCAGGCCTATTAAGACCATTACATTTCTCTGGTGATACGACTTCTTCACGGTGTTTGCACGTCACTCTGCGGTGTTGTACACCTGAACCACATGTTACTGGGCACTAGAAGAACGCAAAGGAATGGTCCATCGTGTAGGAAATACAAGTTTTTACCGATGACCAGGGATCGGCTTGCCAAGTAGGACATGGGTCTAAATTGCATGTTTCGTATTCGACTGGTTTAATGGGTAATTGAGCACAGTATTGATCATCATAAGATATTTTTGTTTGACTATCAATACAGTGTACTTGTCGTAAACGTCGACCAATACCACAAGTTGCACTACACTAAAAATATCAATACAGGACCAAAGGGTTAGCGTTGTTCAAACATTTATTCGAGATCTACCTCTCCAAATTGTTTCACATCCCATATGTATGACGATGCACTTTGTAGTGATGAGAGTGGTCGAATAACTGAACAGATCGTGCTGTTATACGTATAACATGCCTGCAATTCTAGTGGTCTTGACGCTTCATCACAATTCATGTTCGATATGATATCATCGCCCTGTCGACAAACAACCTGTCGATACTGCATACCTGTCGAACACATTGGAGCAGAACACTAATAGAAAAATAGAATCACAACCGTGAGCGATTTTCAGTTCCAAATAAATATGCAACATACTTCAGACCACATTCCAGATGTCCATTCTGGGCAGTATAAATCTATATGACACGTTTCAGTAGATAATGGTTTATGATTGAGATTTGCGCAATGACTATTCTCGACTTCTTGTCCATTGTATGAACACCATACGTGTCGATGACGCACAGCAGAACCACATGTTCCTGAACATTTACTCCATGAACTTGTTTGCCATTGTGGACATTCATTGATCACACAAGTTTGTCGTTCGTTCGGTTTTGTCTTGTCTCCTAGCACTGATAAGCATTCAATATCTGGTATAAGAGATGATGGACGTGATGAATCATGGCAATAAACATTTCGCTGTTGAATGCCTGTGCCGCATGTCACTGAGCACTAAATAAAATAAAACACAGAACAGATTTTATTGCATCGATCGCCTTTCAATTTACGTACATCGCTCCATGGTCCACTTGACCAACGTAGTGTTGAACATAGATTACTATCGGGTGCATGACATGTTTGTTGCTCACTAGGCGTTGGTTGTGGACATTTCGAGTGGTCCATTGGTCGACCATCTTGATGACATATTATGGCACGTCTTTGAACACCTTTTCCGCATGTAACTGAACACTAGAAAAAAAAAGTAAGGACACGTGTTTTGATCGAACTATTTCACTATCGAAACATACGGGTGACCATTCGCTCGTTAACCATGCTGTACAGGTAACATTTGATGAGCACCATTCTTGTTCATTGGGTTTCAGTCTCGGATCGCAGTAGCCATCTTGGACAATTGTTCCATAATGAGTACAAAGAATCTGACGCCGACGAATACCTTGTTGTGACGAGCATGTTGCCGTACACTAAGTTATAGACGCACGACATTTAGATAAAAACAGTTGATTAAGCAAACGTACCGGTTGCCAAGGCTGTGCTTGCCATTGAGCTGAGACGGGGCATTCATCAGAGCAGGAAACAGTTTCATCAGGTTTTGGTTCATGTTGACATTCGTGATCGTTGACTTGTTTACCATTCCGAACGCATGTAACAATTCGATGGCGTTGGTTCGCTACACAATCGCACTAAAACAATGGATGTAGAGAAATGAACAACAATAGTTGATACAAACATTTGACCACACGGTATAATTCCATCGTGATTGATCGCATGATGCTTCGGCACAACGTTCCGTATTATAAATGAAATCCGATACGCAATAATGAGGTGATGTAGATAAATTCGATGCATTGCGACAATCAGCTACACGTTTACGTACACAGCCGCCATCATAATGACACTAGAACACTCATCGATTTTCCTAATGACATGTACAAATACGTTAAACATACTTCGCCCCAGCTTCCATAAACCCAACCCGTTCCTGTACAATCACCAACACATGAGACGACGTCAGCAGGTTTCTCTCCTACATATCTTCGGCAAACATTTTCATCAAGTGATTCCATAGTTCGATCAAGAAGACTTGTTTTTGTACACTCGTATATGACACGTTTATATCCATCACTGCATCGGGTTGAACAAGCTTGTTGATAACGTGTATTCCAACTAGATATAATAGAATCCAATCAAAACGAGTTCATTCTCATCGACTGGAAAATCCTACCTGAGAAGACAATCATTGTTACAACTTTCCTTTTCATATGTATACTGTATTTTATATGCTATACAATAGGATGAATCATATTCTTTTCCATGAATAATACATTTCTGAACTTGTTTAAAGCCTTGACAAGGTCGATCGCAATAGTAATCCGAAGATTGATCACCATATTGTCGTGACACATCAGTTTCATCAAATGGCGAATAATACTCCCAAATAACCGATGTAGCCGGAGCACCCGCTTGATATATTGATATCACTTGAATTTCTAATGGAACTTTCAAACGACCCGTTATGATAACCGTTTCATTTCCGGAATCTGATCCTGTATAAGAAAGTGTCGCAGTTCCAATACGAATTTTAACATTGTATAATTGAAGACTATGTATTCCATTCAAAACATACGTTCCATTGACATGTTTTACCGCTAAATACAAGTTGAAATATAGTTTAAATTAATAAAAGAAGATAATCTTCTACCTAAATAGTAACGATCATTTCCCGACGATATTTGCACAACATGAACACGTGTTGTATTGATAGGAATATCCACGATATTGGTAATTCCTAGAAGAAGTCAAGCATGAACGATACTTTCTATTCGAAGTCTATGTTAAATACCAAAGTCTGACACTCGTTTTTGTCCACTCGATAATTTACAAGTACGATTTTGCCCATTACAAACTCCGCAAACATCTTCTGTTGCGTTTGATCCATATTTCTGATCACAACCCATCGGCATACAGACACCGCTGATGCAAATATCTCTTGTTTCTTCTTCTCGTCCACAGGGAGTGCCATCCTCCACACGATCGCCAAGGACAAATGATCGTTCGAGACGATCGTCCGATACTTTACAGATTAATTTGCATCTTTCACTAGCCAAGACTAAGAATGATAAAAATGAATTTTTCTTTAAACTGAAAGATTAATTCTTTCGATTAAATTTACCATTATATTTCGGTTCAAATCTTGTACCAAAAGGCAATGAAGGATCAATGGTGCGATTGTTAAAGACTGAACATTGACGTAAACGAAACATATCCACAGGATCTTTACAAGGCTAGATGGCAACACAAACGTTTTGTTCTGAAGTTCATTCATCAACAATCACTTACTGGATTATCTTCACATGACCGTATTCGGGTTGATGTACCCGAACAATACTTTCCGCCATTCTCTGGTCTACAATATCGAAATGAATTTTCAAACTAAATCCCTAACAAGCATCAACTGACTTTGGACTATCACAATAACGTTGCGATTTTTGTACAGCGCTGCCACATGTACGGGTACAGGGTGACCACGGCGACCAGTCTCCCCAATTGCCATCGATTGATTGAAGCTCACGTGTGCTTCGGCAATCACCACGAAAACATCTCTACAAAATAAACGTGCGACGCTTTCAATCAAAGTCCTTGATATGTCATAATATGTCTTTTTTCTGCGTAGTTCTCGTCCTTGTCAAGTAAAAAAGTATATACGTGCATGCTACTATATGCAGACAGATAAAAAAACATCGACGTGTATATGTTATTTGTTCTTTTCAGTGGTCGATGAAACGATACATTCGAACGAACGTTGCTTTTCTCATCGATTCGCGATTCGAACATATTCATGATGATTGCTAAGGTACGTGATTTCGATTTCTACTTACTTTGATTTCTGTATATGAGACTGAACATTGCGTGCCATCAGACCAATGGGCATGATTTGTTATACACGATGACAAATTTGAGAGTCTCTCTCGGCAGTATAAACGATGACATTTCGGCTAGAAAGTTAAAGGGAAATTTGTTTTTCTTTTATAAGGTCGTTTTTCTAGTAGATAGTTACCCCATGACTTAAATCACGACAGTATTCAAAAGTCACACCGAATGCTCGCCGGCATTGAGCATCAAGATCACTGAAACGACCGGGTAATTGACGTGCTGCTTGCTCAGCATTCAAATCTTTCCATGTTGCAGATTTGTAATCAGGTACGTTGTTCAAACATTGATATCGATCCGACCTTAAGGAAAATAATAGAATAATAGTGAATTTGCACTTAGTTTAGCAGTAAACAGAAAAATAGATTTCGACCTTGTTTTGTCATTCCTTTTCTGGATATGATATTTATTTGCGACTGCTGAAAATCATTAGTAGAACAATAATAGTCTGAAATTTTCTTCATATTAATGAAGCATTCTACGCTTAGTTATGTAAGATTATTCGTCTGGAATTCTTCAATTCAAATATTGCTACGAAATGAGACTGTGTGAAATAAGGACGATTAAACAAAAATACTTTGTACGTAGTGAATTAATTGCTTCAAATGTTAGAGAATATATCGAAAAACAAGGTCGTATATACTTTCTGATAACCGTGTCGAAACAAGAAGGTCAACATCGTTCTGTGATTAAATTAATCATTTTTTATTGATCAGATAAGTGTGACCTTCTTCGATCCTACAATCCGCAGTCACGCTCGAACATAATTCACTCAACATATCCCACTTAATGTTTTACGTATACTTGATCACCTGATTGATGTCACTCTCTTGATACTCGATCAGTCATAGTTATATCAGTTTGACACAGATTAGTACTTGATGAAATCTTATCTGTTTGAATATAGGTTTCGATACATACTCGAGATATTGAGTGAAATAGTGTCGACTGCAATTCGACCATTTGTAGTGATTGTGATTGAATGTGAGTGATGTTGCCATGATATTCTGTTCTTTTGTGTGATCTAAGCATGCTTTGTCATTATCATGTCGAATACCGAATCTATGTATTAGAAAAGAAGAATTCTTTTGTAAACTCTGAGAACAGTTTGTCTTACAAGTGAGCAATTTCATGAGCAATTGTAAATGCAGTAGCAAATCCATTATCACGTACAACAGCACATTTCGATGTTTTATTACACAATGTACCTAATTCAGTTAATCCTAATGTGTCACATTTACTATCAGTTACATTTTTGGCTCGTTTATTGCATAAAGGCGTTCTAAATATTCATAGAAAAGTGAATTTCCCATAATTCGACAACACGCTCAAATTTACCTTGTGAGAAGAACAGCGGTATCGTACGTATCCGCATCATTGTAATCTTTCTGCCATTTGCAAAATGTACCTAAGATGTCCGCGGCATCATCACTCGATGTTATATATCTCTAGAATAGCGAAAAATGAAATCCTCTCTTTTCCTTCTCTTCCCAATCGATCTTACAGTAAATGCGGCATCCAGATCGACTAATTTGACGAGCCATATCTTAATATTATTTCCGATACTTGCGTCCGAATACAAGTATGAAACCTAGAAAGTGAAAAGCAAGATATTCGATTGAAATTGTTCACAAAAGACTTACGTAGCTAAAGAGAGTGAGAATGTAAGATTTGATATCAACATCTGAATGGAATTGTTTGATTGAGTCATCGTAAGCCACGAGTACTTCCACATGTTTGGCAGTAGGATCCAGTTCAGTTTGGCGTTTAGCTCGACGTTTGAAATGATTTCTTTTGTAAGAAGAATGTGTCAAATCATCTTCGATAGAAGCAGGGAGTTGAGGAGAAGAGTTTTGCAATCGTTGCTTGTGGCTCCGTTCATAATGAGGATAAGATTTGTCTTTTTCGAAATAAGGAACACCTAAAAGATTTCAATGAAGACAAGAAAACACATATCAAATAAAAAAGACTTACCGTCAACAGGGCATCGTACTGTTTGCGCACCATCCGTGATTGACTCTATGGAATCTTTATGTGTGTAAAACAGATGTTCAAAATTCCATTTCATTTCATTCTCCTGACGCTTAGGTTCAATGAAATATTCTACGTCATTGTAAATAAATGTACCTAACTAAAAAAAAACAACACACGAACATTATCGAAAAAGTTTGAATAATTAACTTTTTTTTTATCGCTGAAACCTATCGAAGTTCGCTCACGAAATTTACAAAGGTCTCTTCACAAATAGATTATCCTACGGCTTCGTACAAACGTGTTACATTTTCTTTTATAGACAACCCCTTCTCTTCTAATAATTCAATTGACGTCTTCGCATGACTACAAGGTTCATTATTAAATTAAGGACAAAGCAAATGACATCCATAGATTGTCTATCCACCCTTGTCAGTTAACACTGATAGCAGTCTGGTTTTCTTTGACAACATAGTCTTACATATGTTTTGTTTCTCTAATCAAATGATACATACCAAACCGTGACATAAACTGATCGACACGGTTGACAAAGGATTTTGATTAATATGACCTTTATAGAAACAATGTTCAATATCTCTTGTTAACCATGTTCGATTTTCACTGTAATGTTGAGTAACAAACGATGGTGCGAGAAATGCTTCGTCTTCGGTTAAACTTAAATCAAAGGTTTGATTAAAACCATAGATACGATAGTACAAAGTTGCATTTAACTGCTCATGGAACGAGTTTTGAGCACGTTTTTGACGATTTTGTTGTTTATTTCTGAGACGAGCTTTCCAATCAGGTAGAAATGAGATTGATCTTGAAGATCGTATCGATTGGGGAATGACAATTTCATAGTTAAATTGTTCTTGTTCGACCGTGTCTAAAAAGAAATTAGTTCTTAGATCAATCGTTCGTCATTGAAAACGATTTAACATGTTCTGCTTTTTCGAATATATTCCCTAGATTTTCTATCTTTTACATGATTTCTATCTTAATAGGACATTTAATATTATACATTAAGACTGGAAATCGATCATCAATGCTCATACAAATTGTTTAGACCTATACACATATTTTATTTCAATGTGTTAACAAATGTTGGATATTAGTATTTCAGATGAATAGACATATACATATAGTCGCCATAATGATCATTAATCATGTTTAACCTTGTTCTTCTCCTTCTCCTTTTCCAATACAAACATCCTCTATCTATAAACGTTCTCATCGAACGTTCTTTCTCCTTCTATGTCGTAGTTCGATGTAATACGTCTTCGATGTTTTCTTTTATTTCGCCTGATTGCTTTTGCTTGCATATACGAAACCCGTTAAATCGCTTTTTTTTATCATTAATATATCTGATGAGAAAAAAACGACTGACTTTCTATTGATATACAAAGATGTGTATTTACTAATAGATATTTGCAGACAGTTAAAGATGTCAATGAAACAAAAAACCGATTTCTTTATATCTGAAACGCAAATATGTACATATACGTCTGTATGCATAAGGAGATAGAGGTGAGGGTAGGTACAATGTCCTTCGACATTTTATATGTATCTTCGTCGCTCCAAAGGATTAGGGGACGTGAAAGACGATCTTTTCTCTCGATTGATTTTTTTCGAGTAACTGTCTATTTTCTTAGTAATATCATCGTTAACGATGTCTTAACCATCTTGTACATATTGCTAATAATTATTTATTTGTATTCTATGCGGACATTTGGCGAGAGTGTCGTCGATTTCATGACTGAGGTTTATTCGAAAAGATCATTCGGCTGTTATCTTTCAAAGCAACAAATATTCTATTTCGTCAAAAATAAGAACGAGAAAAAACCCTTTGTGAAGTGTCGGTGAAGAGATCAAATACTTTGCGCTATGTGATACTCAAAGGGCACGCTTGTCGCTTTCGACTCGAATCAAACTTGACTAACAATCTTTTTTCCCACATTTTTTTTGATATACAACATGATCATGTCTCTGTCTGTCAACGTCTACATATGTTATCTCTGGTACAGAAATAGAAGAGGTTTTTAATGAAGGTTGCTGTCAAGTGTGATGCTTTTTTTTTCGAAGACAGATGCAGCATAGATTTATTTGACCTTTGTGTTAAAATGAAGTAAGAGAAAGAAGAGAAAAAGATACGGTTTTGCCACTCGAAACTATTTATTTCGAGGTATAGTACAAGCTTAAAATATCATCTCATATGACCAGCAAATGCGTATATTGAAAAAAAAGACATTTCTTTGATGTTGACGTCGGTGAAATTGTACATTTGTTGAGTAAGACATGAGCAATGAGAAACAATTTCTATAGAATAAGCAACAAGAAGACACACGCTGGTATCACGGAAGGAAAATTAGCAGGAGTTCAAGAAGATGATCGAAGCACTTGACGCATTAGTCTGCAGAGATGGAATCAATTTTGATCAACTCTGATTTGAACAAGCACACGAAGCAATAGAAACACAGAGATAAATACACACACACACACCCGTACACACGTTTGTAAACGTCTATCCACTTCTCTTATCAAGTGATTGTGCCTGCATAGATTACATAATGCAAACCAAATAACATTTCTATAATTGATTTTCTCTCATTAATCGAGACTGTGAATGAGATTTTATTAATATGAATCGTCTTTCACACATAATAACAGTCAACAACATTGATGGCAAGGTTTTCTTTTTCTTGTCACTCTCAACAATAAGGGTTTTAACGTCTCTACGCGGCAGTAGCCTTCATGCTATCACTCATTTAGTCAATAAAAGAAAGTGTGTGTGTGTGTGTGTATGTATGCAAGCATACCAAGAAAACATTGTCTTATGAGATAACAGATGAGTAAACTAAATGTCGAGACATTCGACTGCTTCCGAACTGTATGCGTGCATATTGAAAGTAAAATCGTTGTCTTGAAAACATGTTTTCATTATCTATGATGGACCGTTGACGATTATTATTAACTACGAAGAAATCAATCAAAATCGATCGAAAGCATTTTCTCTCTCGGGAGAATGAAACTTCTTCGAAAATATTATGTGAATGTATCTTATCAAGGTGACATAATCTTGATGAAGATTAAATGATAGAAGAAGAAGAAGAAAGAAGATGCCTATGTGTGCATGTATATATGTATGTCCGTATGTGCTTAGTTTTCTCCTCTTTCCTGCTGTACGATAGCGGGTTTTTGACACGTTAGACGATTGTGGCTTATACGTCAATCAACCGCACATAGCAGTTGTGCAGATCGATCGATTGATCGATATACATTGAATATACAGATAAACAGAAAACTTGGGATCAATTTCTCTTTGGATCTCATTATCATGCGTACAATTTTATGCAAGAGAAATCAACAACAAAAATACCTGACGTGTAACCGAAAACAAGAATTTGTAATGCGAATTCTCTATGCGTGTGCGTGTGTGTATATGTTTTTTTCTATTCTTCTACCGTCTAATAGTATTGTTGCGCGCGAATGAGTGTCATTAACCACCATTTAGCCGACGTTGTTTTCCTACATGAGAACAACATCACGGCGACGTAACGTCTCTCACCAGTGTAAAAAAACAGAAGCAAATAAGGCACAGAGACACAATGATGTCGTATCATTACCTAACTCCCTAGATTCCTCCAAGGTTGCCTGCCGTGTTAATTCGTGTATATTTATATACACGCTTATATTTATATATGTATATATGTATATGTACATTAATACACGTATCTATAACTATATATCAAATTTAATCGCGAATCGGCAATAACGGGACATCAAGAAAAACGAAATACGGAGGAAAGCAACACTCAGTAATTACTGAGCTGATATAGATTAGAGATTGAATTACATCATCATATCACTTTAAATTATACCGCTATTGAAATCGAACGCAGTGTACGTCTACGTTTACTCATAGTTTGGGAAATCAATAGAAACTATTCATGACAATTTTGCCACACATTTATCGAAATAATTAAATTTGCTCAGAAAAACATCGCTCACTTGTTGTGATGATTGAACTGGTTTGGGTGGTGATCAAGTTTGACAAGGATGGTGGTAATGAGCAGAGGAGCGTAGTAACGATTGCAGTAAAAACCATGTATATGTCGAAATGCATCTCGAGCGCACCGGCTCAGTTTGAATACCACAGGCGTTCTGATGTGTCGTCGTAGCGACCGTGACGAGCAAAACGGAACGTCAACAGAATACAATATGAGTGTCGTGGCGATTTCGACAGACCGTTGACATCCATTAGAGACTCTGGAAACACATCGGTGCTTCTAAATCGAAGAAGATAGGACACTACGACGTCGCACTGTGAGAGTGAGAGAGAGAGGGAGAGAGAAGAAAAAAAGAAAACAACCACAAGAGGGCGACCACAAGAGCCGAGGAGAAGGGAGAGACACATAGAGAAGGAGAGACAGAGCAAAACAGCCGATGTAGCGGAAACACGACAGCGTAAAAAAAGGCGAAGAACGAATAAAGGAAAGGCAGAGACAGTGAGAGAAAAAAATAACCTCTTCTTTTTTTAATGTACAGATACTAAAACACATTTTTGGTTCTTTTCTCTATTTTTTTATCGCTCTTTTTTTCTTTCTTCTAGTGCATTTCGGGTTTTTTTTTCACACTTATTTCTCTGCCTCGGTTTTGCCTATTCGCTGTCTGTAGCCACATAACCAACATAAAACAAGCTGCATGCCGACGTCGGAAAGGCAGCGTAACACAGATGTGAAAATCTGACAAGAAAACGAAAGGGTTTAAAATGAAACAAAAAAAAAGCAGAAAAAAGAAAATAACAACGGACTTATAATACATATATTGACATAGACACATTCAATGATAATGTCCTTACTGTGATTGTTATTACTTTAATTTTTTTCGAACCTATTCAGATTTGTTCGTTCTCATTGTACGCGTGGTTTTTCGCATCACCCATCCTTTATTCAAGCGTCACTTCACCTTTCTAAGCGTACACTTAAAAGATTTATGATAAACAGCTGGCTTCGTTTTTTTCTGATGCACAATTATATTTCCAATTTATTACATTTAGCAAAAGTCGTATAACCTCCAGTTTATGAATGAGAATCCAGGGTATGATGATTATTATTATTGTTATTATTATCAAGTCTTTGGGTGCACAAGAAAAAATATGTATATAAGTATTGACATGGACATTCGACTGACAAATCTTCTATATATATGTAGATATACATGACATAAAAAGAGGAGAAAGAAATGGAACAATATCCTTATGGCGAGAAATGAGAGATGTTCCAATCGTTGTTACTTTAGTACGAATGATTTTGTTGGATAAAAAGCAAACGTTCCTTCTTCTTTTTCTACATATCTCGATGACAGCAGACTGTTGTGTAGCATAGTTCGGCCAAGACTGTCAGATGTTTTCTATTAAGATTGACTTCTTCGCATGTACGCTTGTTGGAGGCGACTAACTACAAGGACAAAAGCGGTTGGGAAAGAAAAACTCTCGCCCTCTCTGATGGCCAGAAAGCAAATCGAGCAGAAGAAAAATAAGAAAGAGAAATCTGCCAGTATAACTGATGAAGATCGATAAAGAACTACGGAATTCATAGATTAGTATCCGAAGAAGAAGAAGAAGAGAGAGAAAAAACTTCGTTATATCATAATCAAGAAAAATGAACCATATAAGATATTCATCGTATATATATATGATGAAGATTATTTATTTATAAAAGCAAAATGTCATTTTCCTTTCTTTTTGGCTTTTCCGCCTTTCTTGGCTTTCTTCTTCGGTAATTCAACCGGTGTATTCAACATCTTTTGTAAATCTAAAAATAGAAAGAAACAACAATAGTAGCAAAGAATCTCAGAAGATTCTTCTCCTCTTACCGTCAATAATAAAATATCCATCGGCACAACTCAGTTGTGAGAGAAGCAAATCGATATCATCTTCAGGCCAATCACAATTTTTAAGTAAATATGTAAAATTATCCACCATTAACTTCGATTTGTTCTCGGGATCGAGAATATCGAATGCTTCTTGTAATTGTTGCTTGTCATCATCGGTCGTCACGTAAAATTCATGAACAATCGTTAGAAAATCCGCAAAGGATAAACGATCGTCAGCTTTTTCATCTATTTAACAACGAACTCATAAGACAAACATTTTTCAATAAAAAAAAAGAACGTAAAAACTTTTTAAGTGCACCGCTCGAACAAAGAAATGAATAAAATTAATGTTGATTTCTGACTTGAGTATGTTATGTCTACTAACCTGGATCGACCTCTTGTTGATGAGTTTCTTTTAAAGATTTCGCCTTTTCAATCATGTCTTTTACTGTATCTTCACTTGGATTTTGACCAGAATGTCGAAATGCATCGCCGATGCTCTCAATTCGAATGTAGTCATTCTTTTTGGCAATCTTCTTGAAACCGAATTTGAGTACTAAAACAAAAGATTGATTAATATTCTAATGTGCTAATCGTTTATCGAAACATCTGTCTATATTTGCATTTATGATTAACATAGTATCTTTTATGCCTTAAGATAAAGTTAATTTTAACGCGAGGGCTGCAGCTGGTCGGGTTCAGATGTGCTTAGTCTTGATAGGGTTTTTTCTTCGGATGATGGGTCGGAAGATATGAAAATAAGAATCTTCTATGAAGCAACACTTACATTCTCGAGATGTTTCATCTAATATTTCTTCATAACTAACTGTTGTTTGACCGTACTCATTTCCTGGTCCCTAAAGAAATTAAAAAAAAGGACGAAGTTGAGGAAATTTCATTTTGGTTATCCTTGATCATGTTATTACAAGAAAGTCAATCGTATTATTTAACGGCGCGGTCAAGGTTTGTTCCATTGACATAGACCCATACTGTCGTCCGATATCATTTCGTTCATCGGAGTCCATTGTCAATATTTTGCCCTAATTGTGCAATTGTGTTTCTTTTTGATAATGTTACACTAATGGCAATTCTGTAACTCGAATGTTGCCAAGGTGAGTTGCCGTTGTTATTGAGAAAAGAAAGAACGAACGAATCATATCTTCACTCAGCTTTTTTTTCTCTTCTCGATCGTTCCTGTTGACTGTTGTTGTTGTTGTTGTGATGGTGGTTGTTTTTATCGCCGTCGACTTTTCTTCTTTATTTTACCGTTAAAAACAGAAAAAAAAACAATTTTTAATTTGTGAGGATCAATGGACACGTATTCAGTTTTGATTTCTTTTTAAGAAACATGGAATTACCATCAACACCCCGGATCGCTTATCCTCTTATTTATTCAATTTTATTTTCATCATCCATTAGTTTACACTTTCTTCTACTTCCATGGGTGTCGTCATCTTTATTACGTCTTTGTATTATTGATTTCTATGCCACATGTGTTCTGTTTCTTATCGGAAATTTTCTTTATTCATCAAATAATGTTTATGATATTCATTGGCCGTTGATTCCATTGGTATCTTCCATTTATTTTTATTTTTACTCGAATTCAAGTGAATTACCATGGAAAAAGTTTCTTCTGTTAACTCTCCTCATACTTTTATGGTCAAGTCATTTGATATGGCAAACAATAACATCATCATCGGATATCAAACATGAAGATTGGCGCTATCATATGATGCGTGGACAATTTGGAAACAATTTCCTTGTCTTTGCCTTCTTTGTTCTGCACATAATACCAATGATAGAAGTTCTGATCGGCTCCTCATCAATCTATTACATCTTTAGTGATACGAATTCTCATGAACAGTTTACCATAGGTAGTAGTCTTTCGTTCGGTGTTATAGCGGTCGGTGTTCTACTGGAAAACGTTGCTGATAGACAATTAGCAAGATTTCGATGTCAAAGAAAACAGTCACGCGAATACAGATTTGCTGTATTGTCAAGTGGCTTGTGGAAGTATAGTCGTCATCCAAATTATCTTGGTGAAATTTTGTTTTGGTGTGGATTATTCTGTTTAGGTCGAGCTTCTCACGCTCCATGGTGGTGTGCAATCGGACCATTGCTGATCACATTAATGATGATTTTTGGATCAATTCCAATAAGTGAAGAACGATTATATCGCAAATATCCGGAATATAAGTTCGTTCAACGACGGATATCCATACTGATTCCAACATTTGGTTTATTTCGATAAACTTTAGGCTTTTTTTTTCTGTTTGTATTTGTTCGATTTTCCGTAAGGTTTGTTCAGATATGGTTCGAAATTGGGCGGGTTTTTTGTTGCCTTATATTTTACGCAACTCGTACGTACACTTGTAAAAATATAGGAATTTTAATTATAAAAAGAAAGCAAACAAGCATATTTCTCAAAGCTCAACACTTTTATCGTTCTGAGGACTGTAAATCTGTGCTAATGTTGCAAATTTCGGTCCTAACGAAGATAAATATCGATAGTCGATTTCATCCGGTACTGACGAAGATGCGATTGAACTCAAATCTCCCGCTATTGATCCGACGCCTTCGTCATGAAAACGTAATCGAGTATCGTAGACATATCCAACCGTTTGCTCATCTAATTTTTCTTCAATATAAGTGCCGAGTGAAGGTCGAGCAGTAAATATTCGATCGTTATTATCTAAACAAACATGGAAATGTTTTTTACACTGCCATATTTATTTTGATTATTCGTACTTAGCCGATCGCGATTTACCATAATACTACCATCTGTCAAAGCATAAATCGGTTTTTTTAAGACATGAAGGTTATAAGTTGAGTGATCCTCCTCACCAGCCATTTCTCTACATAAACAAAAGACAAATAAGTCGATCGAAAGTATTCCTGTTAAAACTTACTTATAATCGATGATGTTCTCTCGTGTATCGTCAACATAAATTCCATTCACTGTTCTAGAAATTTCTTTTTTTCTTATGAATGATAACAAAACTAAGATGATCACTGTCGCTAATAATAATAGAACAAGTGCTATTATTAACCAGGTATACCAAGGAATGATGACACTACGTTGGTCAGAAATTCTCGGTTCTTGACATTCGCCGGCATATGAATAAGCTGCGTGAACATAATTTGACATATTCAGATAATATCCGTTGGATAAAATATTACGTATGCAACCACGAAAACCGCTGGTTACAATTGAGGTTTGATTGAAAGAAGATACTGGTAGATGATCTGGTAAACTACCAAGATGTAAATACTGGACCGTAGAAGGATCCATCCAATTGAAGTTTTCAGGTAATGAATAATTGTGTTGGCAATCATTTATCGAAAAGAAAATATTTTCTCGGAGAATCTGAAGAAGAGAATGTCTTACAACGAGAAGAACATCAAATTTTACTCACTTGACATTCCACATGATACCATACCGATGCATTCAAAGTAATATCGTTAATATTACGCACAACATTTGGAAAATGGAACCTTAATACTGCATTAGATACATCAATTGCCATCCAAAATGGCCCATTTGTTTTAGTAGTGTTTGGTGCATACAAGAAAATTAAACAGTTTTCTATGGGAGTTTGTAAAAGGAAATCGAATGAAAGACGTGCCGAACGGAAATTCGAAAATATCCATTTGTCATAGATTGCGTATCCTTGCCCATTTTGATCAAAAGTTCGGCCAAGTACTTCTCCACAAGGTCCCACTGGACCATGCGGTGATGACTGCGACAACAGCGAGCCATCTAAACTATCAAATGTGGTTATTTTACAACGCTCTGCCGTCATCAATTCCTGTGGATCGTAAAATTTATTCACACAGTCTGCTGAATCAAGAATGTTGACACCTAAGAAAGATGTTTGATTCGTATCGATAACTTCGGGTTTCACTCCAATAGTTCGTGATGGTCGACAAATTGTACCGGAAAGGCAATTGTAATTATGACACGGATTTGGACCACTTGCATTCGCTATAAAACCGTAAGATTGAAATCTTGACAGATCTCCACCAAGTGTTTGTTCAACATTGACTCGATCTCGTCCGCGTACGTAAAATACTACATCGGTTAATGTTTTAGCTTGCTGTTCTTCGACGGTTTGGGGTTTATCGTATTGATTTCGATATTGAAAAACTGAACGAATAGCAAAAATTTGTATAAAATATCGATTAACATTTAGTATTTGAGCGAGTGCAGTAATAAGTTGACCATTGACAGACGGAATAATCAAGTCATGGGGATATTTACCTTGAATACGAATCGTTGATGCTTCGCGAACCTTTTCGCTTTTCACACTTGCAACATTAATTGTTAGAGTGACCGGAACTGATTGATCTACGATAGCTTCAACTGTTGAAATGCCCGGTTCCAAAGCTTTTGACAAAGTTCGCAAAGAGCAGTTGAAAAACATGAACTTCTGTTGATCGTTTCTGTCCTTGAGTGAGCAGCTTGGATTGGGTTTATTCGAATTATCGAAATGAATCGAACCGAGGTCAGTGTTAAGAATAGAATTTCGATATCCTTCAACATAGATAATCTCAATTGTTTTACTATTCAGAGTAGAACCCATCGTTTGACAGCCTCGAACGTTGATTGTTATTGTTGTTTTCTCGAAATGATTTTGAGCATCGCTGGCGTTGAAAGTGACATTAAATCTTTTTGTCATCGCACAACTCAAAAGGCCATTGTATATTAGATTGAAAAAAGACATGTTATGTGTAACCAATTTTACATTAGCATCAGTTGATTCAACAATTACCACATTAAAAGGAGCTGTGTGATTCAGATTTTCATCATCATAATCTTTGAATTCGATAGAAGTTGAAGGATTAGTGCCTTCCTCGATGTACCATGGACCACCCTAAATTGAAAAACAGGAGATCTATACGCAAACTCTCAAAAAAAAACATGTTTACTATTGGTATAGGACCATTGTTATTGATATCATGTACTCTAAGAGTTACTGGAATAAAACTGGATACACCTGTTCCATTTCCGTCTGTTGCACGAATAGCAAATTTATAAACAGAGTTACCAAAAGGCAAATCACGTGAGAGTCCACTTGAGTTTATACTAATAATAGCTTCGTTGCCAAATGTGTCAACAAAAATATTTCGAAGATTCAATTGATGATTTTGATCATAGATTTCATAACGAAGCTGAGTTGGTGGTATGTCTGGATCAATAGCGATGATCTAAATAAAACATGCACATATTACATACGGTGTAAACATCTCACATTTTACCGGAGCTCCGGAAAGCAGGGAATATGGCTTAAGTTCTGTTACATTGTATTCGTAACTGTCGAAGCCAGGCATTAGTTTGAAATACGGTGCATTCGTATTTTCCGGTAATATCGTAATTTGTACATCAACTTCGACCATATTGCTAGAATCAAATGCGAATAATTTCAGTGAATACTGAGGTATAGATTTGTAATCTAGTTGTCCAACAACTGTAAGTTCTGCAGTTGCTTCATAACGTGTTGACTTGTCATCATTTGAATTATCTGATGAAAGGCTAAATTTAAAAGCATTATTAATATTTCCACTTAATATTCCCACATTCAGCCTCGTATCGATGTTGTCATCAGTAATATTTAGAGTAAGGATAGGCACATTCCTCGATGTCGTTCCACTTATTGATATGTTATTTTTTGTTTCGATATTCTGAAAGACTAAAGCGATAGATGAAATGTTGTTTTTCATTTTTATCTTGGAAATATATCAATCTTTACCCGGATGTTGTTGATTAGCACTAATAACTTGAATATCAATTTGAAAATCTTCGGATGCATCATTTTGCGTGTTCCATAATGGTTTGGAATTCGCAGCTGTCACAAACAATCGATAGGATGATTTATTATTACTGTCTGATCCGAATACAGCATTTGTCCATATTGTGCCATCGGGTTCAACGCTAAAAAGTGAAGTTACTTCTGCGGAATTTAGATGATCACTTGAATAGTATCGAATTGCATTGTTTTCTGGTAGCACATCGAGATCATATGCTTGAATTTTGCCGATAGTACGATTCCCTTGTTGGTTTTCAAGCACACTCAACGTAATTGAACGAATATCAAATGTTGGGATTTGATCATTCTCATCGCGTAGATCGATTTGAACTACTCCAATCAATGGTGGATTGGTAAGCACGCGTGTATAAAGCAAATAACTATCTTGAATTTCTGCATGAAGACCTCTAAAAAGATTTATACATTCGTTTGTTTCTCAACGTGATAAAGGATATGGATAAAATCGTTGTATAGTTACCGAAGAACTACAATACCACTTGTATATTTTAATTCATTCCTTGTCACTTGTTTGTCACGAAATGGTAAATGCGCATTGCTGGCAAATGGACTTGAAACTGCCATAATGGATGGCATCGATGGTCGTAAACTAAAACTAATTGTTCCATTGAATGTTTCATCTTGTACTATACGATCAGTGGAAGTTTCATAAAATTTCTCTGATATGACGATATGTAAGTTTTCATACGATGGGTCTAGCCATCGGATTGACTGTTCTTCAGCCTTATTTTGAAAATGAATTGTTACTGTAGCATCGTTTTCACTCAAACGTTCTGGTTCACCGCGATCTTTAGCGTACACTTGGAATTTTACTGGAAACAAACTTGCATTTAAACTTTGAATTCCATTTATGCCGGTACGCAGAACGATATATCCTGTCGTCTGATTGATTGCGAAATATGGTACATTCAATGTTCTAATGTAATATTTGATCATTCCATTTACACCAGAATCAGCATCGAATGCAATGATACGAAATGGAAGAATGTTATTTTGAATACTAGTCGACTGAAAAATCGTAAAATTCCAGTCAGCCATTATGAACTCTGAATACAAAATATCTCTCTTGATAGATCATTGAAACCACTGAAAAATATACTAACTAGGTCTATTATCATTAACATCCACAAGATTAATACGTAAAGTGCATGCTGTTTGACGGCTTGGCGTGCCACGATCAGTAGCCAATATGGATAGAAACCAAACACGAGGAGTGCCTGTAAATGATGATATCACGGTACGTATTGAAGTCATGTAAGATGCGTACCTGGCTCGTCGTAATCAAGTGTTATATTAGTTTTTATCCATGCTTCGCGAATCATACCACTTTGGTTTTCCTGCTCAATATGAAACGAAGGATATGCAGTATTTCTCACACCGCTCACTACAACGGAATGATTTCTTGTCAATGTAGTGCTTAATTTTC